GTTCGATCTTGTTCGTAAGATAAGGTTAAGTTTCGATGTGTTAAAATGGTCTTAATTTCGCCTTAATTTTTTTCAGTAATGACAGAAAAGGAATGCCTCCACATTCTGCTTGTAGTACAGGGAACATAAGCGGATGGCACCGTTACGTACCTGTCATGTCGTGAGATACGCGGCAAGAGATGAGTTCGCTTTCACTTGCCGCCCTGTTCACGACTCCCTTGCTGTCAGGGCAGGGCTTTCGTCGACTGCTACGGCTCAAAGTATGGTTTAATGTCTGGAAGAAACCGGCAGCTCTAGACGGTGGTGACGGTTGCTGCTGAAGGTGTTCCCGGCGGGATGAGTCCCTGACCACTCGGTCGCGGTCGTCGACCAACGATGCTGACGAAGACATCTGTTGGTGGTGCAGGTTGCCCCCGCGGTACTCGACCGTTATCCACGACTTGTTCTTGCCGACTGGACTCTTGCTTCGACAGCGCGGCTTTGGCGAAAGCTTCTTCAAGAAGCGTCCAAACGACTTTTTGTACGAATGATGTTGCGCTAAAATTCGTGAGGGTCGAAACAACAAAAAACAACAGAACAAAACAACACACAATACAGTAAAGCGCCAACTAACATAATGATATTTACAGTGCAGACGGTAGAAGGGAAATTAGTTAGGCGAAAGTGACGAACATGTTCAGCACTGTCACCAGTAGCATATGACAAGTAATAATATCACAACTGCATTTACTATGTGTAATAAAGGCCATATGTAACGATAGCCAGGCCTGTCGTTCGTGTGATCAAGAAGGTGTTAAAAGAAATAACATTAATGCCTCACGAAATAAGGTGACGGCTGCCGTAAAAAATTCCATGATTACCTCTGTATCCTGTGTCGAAACGCATTCATAAATAGAGAATTTTACATCCTCGTTGTAATTTGCTGCCTTGAATGATTCAACAAAAAATAGGAACAACTGAAAAATACAGTAATATTTCATTACAGAAATCACTGATTTTTCGAGCCGTGCTCGGGTCGGTGTCGATTTACAATGCTACAAAAACCGATCTGATATAGTCAAATTTGGGTCTATAAGGGGATGAGCAGGGATTAATGGGGGCAGCGTTTTATTAACAGCTGATATCCAGATATAGCTCTGGTGCAAGCCATTGTCCTTGTTCACTTATATGCTGTCCTGGATGAATCGACCTTTTTTTGATCTTTCTAAATTTGACGTTTTTTCTGGCACAGATTGCCATGGCATGATGCCAATCTGTGTTGTGCCCTTTGTAGACAGGTTGAACAGCAAGTTGTTTTCGCATTTTTATTGGATCTACTACCTGATTTTTCGCCTGTCTCTAACCTCGTTCTCACTGCGCATTGCTTTTTTATGAACTCAACGTTGTTTCATCTCATAAGGCTGCGAATGCACTCGCTTCTTTTTTGGTGGATGTAATTACCCTTTTCCCTGATTCATACTTCACCACATTTGCAGGCCACACAATACACTCTTCGCCTGCGTAACTTTCGCTTTGACATGCGTTACATGGCTCTGGATCAAAGAAGCTGTTTATCCAAGCCAACAGAGATGAACAGCGAAAATGGCATGTACCTGAACAATATCCAAAAGTCAACTATTAATAAAACGCTGCTGGGTTCCTTACAGAAAAAAATTTTACCTAAACGCCTTGACCTTGCAGATCTAACGGTATTCCTGCAGCTTGACAATCAGCCGAGTATGGTGATTGTGTAGTACTATAGTGGAAATGTTCGTGAGATTTCATAAGAAATAAAAAGGCATAAAAAATAATGTTCACTCTTAAAGTTTACATAGAGTAACTGTCAATAAAAGCTGATGTAGCCCAACTATGCCATGCAAATATCTGAAATAACTGCGAAACACATCAAGAGTTGGCGTCAGAGCTCTCTATCGAACTATCGTTAGCAAGCCGCTGTGCCTCGTCTGGCCAAGTCTGATGATGCGGCAGATCGAGCAACTGTACAAGCTGTGAAACAGTTTAGCGCTCGATCTGCCATCATCATCACTGTTGATCAGACTAACATAAACAGTTTGTTGTGCCTCGGCTATAATTCTCTGATGAGTAGGCTAGATGCATGATCATGATCTATCGAGAACTAAACATCGTTTCGAAGTTCATGGGTGGTTTGAGACTCGTTTCCCCTTAGCTGAACGTGGTAATCACAGATGAACTACTCTCACCCATCTGTTCATATATTCGTCTGCGTTTTGCATCTACGGTCCCAAAACAAACAATCCGACTCCGGATCAAAATTCATTGCTCATAAAAATCATATTCTTTTCTATTCAAGGGGCAATGGCTGGTAAAATCAGAAAAATTATCATGCACCGTTCATGTACAGTATAAATGATTGGTTGCATAACTTATCGCAGGCCGGGCTTGTAGCGAGACCACGATTTTCTCGGCGACACGAGGAAGTCAATCATCATTTAGTTGTCACGGCTTGGCATTTGGGCCGATGTGCCAACTAACTACTGTTCGTTCCTTGCACTGTCTCACCTCTAGATAGAAGAAAACAGCGTGAGTGACAGACTCGGTGGACCCGTTGCCAGGATATAGTACTCACTGTCCAACGCCTAGTGGTTGGACATCTCCGACCATCTACTAACGAGCAAATATTCGTACATATGGATTGATCACTGACGAACTTTTGCATCGATAGGTTACTATTAAATTATCCAATAATATTGTACATCTACTATGTGCACGTAACTCTTTAATCCAACAGGTGGGAGATCGTAATCGATCTGAACACCAACAGCTGACCTTCGCTTTTTTGTGCTTAACATTAACCATGAGGTAAAACGAGACGAGAGAGGGCACATTAGGGCCCCGTGTAGCATAGATTGTATCGGGTAGCATTTCTGATCATTTTATACACTGACCACGAGGCCACTCATCTAAGCCGTATTACCCATGCATTTGCTTATTACCTGATCGTTTCGAGACAGTGACAGAACTTCGTAACTATCGCAGTAGCGAAGAAGAAAGTACTCCATCGTACTTCGCCGTAGCGTGCGATCGAGTGCCTTTTCTCTTGGCATCACCCTCCCTAGCCGCTGAGGTGAACTTGAAACGTGACTGAATACGATACAGTTTAGCCTTAGACCACAACGATGAT